CTCCCAAACGGAACCATTTTCACACATGATGACCTTTGTATCCGTGTTATTTGAGAAAGTGCGAAATTGTCATGTACAAAATGCTAAAAAGCCTGTTGCACGTGCAAATCGTTGAAAACACAGTTCATGTAGAGGGTTTTAAAAGCACGCGTAGTTTGTAATTTTTCTCTCATAATTTGCTCTGCAAATCAAGTTCGAAAATGCCCCGTTTGAGTACAGCAAATCGAAATATTGCCATTGGTCGCATTGAGGCCGGGGAAAGCTTTGGAACAGTTGCCCGTCATCTAAACGTACACAAAACAACAATCTCACGACTTTGGAATCGTTACACACAGTTCCATGCAATTGAAGATCGTCCCAGGAGCGGTAGACCTAGGATCACCACACCGGCTCAGGATCGCTTTATTCGACTCAGCCACCTACGTAATCGGCATGCCACACCCACCATCACTGCAACACAGGTGCCAGGTTTGAGGAGAGTATCGGCCCAAACCATCAGGAACCGTTTACATGAGGCAAATTTACGTGCAAGAAGACCAGTTGTTGGGCCCGTCTTGAAACGCCAACATCGACGCCAACGTCTCAGGTGGTGTACTTACGTAAGGAGATGGACCCTAAGAAACTGGAGAAGAGTCTGGTTTAGTGACGAGTCTCGTTTTCTTCTTCAACGACGTGACGGTAGACAACGTGTCTATAGACGAGCAAATGAACGTTTTGCACCGAACTGCGTTCGACAGGTCGACAGATTTGGAGGAGGAAGCATCATGGTATGGGGAGCCATGTCTTACAACCAACGGTCAGACTTGGTCATCATTCGTGGCAATTTGACGGCACAACGGTACATTGATGACGTCTTACAGCCACATCTTCTGCCGATAATCGACCAACAGAGGGAGTTGTTTCAACATGACAATGCCCGCCCTCATACAGCTCGTGCAACAGTGGCATTCCTACAGAATTCAAACGTCAACGTGATGCCGTGGCCCTCCAGATCGCCAGACATCAATCCTATCGAACATCTGTGGGACCAGCTGGATCGTCGTGTTCGTGCACGTACACCACAACCGCACACGTAAGTTGAACTGGCCGCAGCACTCCAGGAAGAGTGGAGAGCAATCCCCCAGGAAAACATCCGCCGTCTGATTCGTTCTGTTCCGAGGAGGTGCACTGCTGTGATTAGAGCTCGTGGCTCTACAACGAGATACTGAAGACAACGCCCCCTAGCGTAAATTGAGAGTTCGATACTGACCTGCATTAACTGTTACCTTATACCGTGCTGACCTAAGGTTCACCATGTCAAATTTCATGGCATTATCTTTAAAAATACAAATGTAATAACCAGTTAAAATTGATATAAACATTACCAAAAAAAACAGGGGTTGCGTTTCTTTTTTGAGAGAGTGTATATTGAATGTAATAAAATGTAAGTAGAAATGTACAGAAGAACATTCATGTGATGCGTATCCATATTAAATCATCCATTAACTAACAAATCTCATGACCAAACCATGAGGTATGAACAACATACTATGATAACATAGCATGATGCAGAGCCAGGAACAAGAACATCAGAAAGAAACAGGAACATAGTTACACATAATAGGTTGTACGAACAGAGATGGCACCAAAATGAACTGATTGTTAGTAAAGAAAGGTAAACATAATGCAACAATATGTATACGCCCTCTGAATACATTCAGGCATCAGAGATGTCCTTGGCAAGACTGTAGACGTTTTCCTGATCCCTTCTGTCAGACTCAGCCTCACCTTCCTCATGTCCGTCAAGATTCCCGTAGTGTCGGTGAAGACGCATTGTGTTGTAGTAGTCGGTTGTGTCTCCTCTACCGTCTTCAACCACAACGTCATGGTTGTAGGTGTCGTCGGCACATCGTTCCAGCTGCCCTTGACTTGCGATATCATAGTATCTTCTTTACATGGTTTAGTTGTCCTCTGTATATGACTGTAAGAATCATCCACCTCGCTGACATTCTTTCCCCACCCTGCAGTGTCATAGTCCCCCTCGTCCGTAGCAACGTGGTCATACACCCCAGCGGCAGCATCAACTTTTCTGGGAGAGTCGTGCTTGCTAGTCGTCCTCCTCCCCCTGACCATTCGATACGTCCGGCAGTCGTGGGTGTGTGACAGTGTTCTTCGGCCCTGTGGTCACTTCTTCTGTCTGTGGAACAAAGTTTGCTGTGTCGTAGTCTCCCTTGTACTTGTTACCTCCGTCAAGTCCTGATAGATGATTGTAAGGATTCCCATGTGACACGGGCACCTTGGAGTTGTTGGATGTTGACAGGAAGATGTACTCATTCTCATCATTAACCTGAGCGTTGTTGATGTTGATGTTGCCACTGTGGACACTAGGTCGGACTATCGCCGTTGGAACCGTTGATGACGCCGATGTTGCATCTGTTGTGTCAGGAAGTGAGATGACAGCATATGCTTCACTCTCTGTGTGTGCGTGAGAGGCTAAACCATAGGTGATGTTTTCTGCGGCTGAAGTGAAGTGTATTGGCTGATTCCCATCACTTTTTACAAAACACAGTTTCTTGTGCCTGAAACCCGATGTGTCAACATGAAATTCAGTCTGGAGGAAATACAATACATTATGGTATTCTTGTTTCCTTTACTAACAATTTGTTACAGTGGAGTCATTCTGATGTCATTTGATCGAAACAAAAGATCATATGCAAGCACTGCGTTTGAAACGAATGTAGTTTGGAATCACTTTAGTTCATAATAATATTTCATAGACTAAAAACCTATCTTCCGGTTTTTCTTTTAGTTGTGGATATTTTACTGATTAAGTATATGTTATCGATATTAAGTATCTTCGTACCTTCTCAAAAGACAGACCACAATGAGGACTGTCAGAACTAGCAGCGCACATCCAACACCTAGTCCAATGAAGCCTCCTTCAGGAAAACAGTTATATATGTATATACCAAATATACATTATATTAGCATCAAATCAAATATTTGCTCGTATGTAATTACGAAAATGATTAAAATGTAACATAATACAAGAAAAGATAGCACGTTTTACATCAGGACCACTGAAGTGACACTGGCACGATCTATGATGTAAATGTTACATACAAATACCCCTACCTGTCGCTGATTGTTTTGACATTTAGTAGGCTTTTTAGATCAGATTTATTGTCAAAGTTTAACTTCGAACATCAATTGTGGGCATATGTCAATTCAGATAAAACGTATGCATGAATGTCTTTGTTTGATACGTACCGGCCGCAGGATTGATCGACGGTTTCCTTCCTGCAGTTGGTGTCTCAACATCGGGAAAGTTGATGCTGTCAGTTGTAGCAACGCTTCCTGAAAGTTGCTGTTAACATTATTATAAATATATTACGACAGAGGGATAAAACTGACATTCGTGTATTTTAACCAGAATCGAACCCCATTTTTGCTTGTTTAACGCCTCTCTCAGCAATACTCCAGCTATATGGCGGCGGTCTGTAAATAATCGAGCGTGGAAAAGACAACCCAGTGGTCAACATCATGAGCATCGATCTACGGAGTTTGGATACGATAACATGAGTTAACCATCTCAGCGAGCCTGACCACCCGATCCCTTTAGTCGCCTCTTTCGACATGCATGAGTTGCTGAAGACCAATTCTAACGCGCATCTTCAAAGGTAGGATCAAACCCCAACATTTGAAGAAACAATCGTTACGCCACCCTTCCGTCCCCTTATTTTAAATAATACGCAAACACTAGTGACAGTTAAGAGTGAGTCAATAAGTTATGACAAAAATAAAAGAATCGATAGTGAGAAGAGGGAGCTTCATATATTCATATTGGTCTTTCTCAACCATATAGAGATACTGAGAATTACTTTATCCTTTGTTACGGAGTGATGTGTTAATGAGATATGAGACCTATATCTCCATCATTTGTTTACGCTAATAGTGTATTTCTAAGCCAGCATGACATTTTCACAGTTTCCCTTTACAGTGTAAAAAGAACAAGCAAACAACTGATTTCCCAGGATGTTTACAATGAGGTATGAAATAATATGGTGGGTTTAACATATAGTGAATTGCCGGCTTTTCCCCTTAACTAAACTCGGACCCCCTGATAGAGTTTCAATATTGTTCAAACCAGCATTTAACCCAATTCAACAACCAATCCTAGTCAGTTAAATTCTGGCCATAGACACCAAGTAGCTTGAAACGTGACAAAAACATTTGAATGGAGTCCAGATATCATTACATACCATCATGCACCATATGCCAAATTAAGTACATTTTAACAGTAAGTCCTATGTCTCCAGCTAGAAGAATGTAAGGATGTCAATATCATCGGTGCACATCACTTCCTGTGAAGGGAAATACATTGCGTCCCATGCCACACGCTTCATTCATACGAAAAGTAATATGCACTTGTTTCTTATTGACCTTCATCCTACCAAATTTCGTCTACCTTCACTTTACATTTCTTTGGATGTCACGAACATTATTTAGAGAGTAAAAATTGACCTTTGATGTAAAATGCATGTACTTCATAAACACACATAAGTACACTATAATATCATGTGTTTGTAGCATTTGAATGTTTGATTCCTTAGAAAAAAAACAGAATTGCTTTTATTATATGTCCATGTCTGGACATTACATCTCGAGTCAAATATATTCAACACATTACCCAGCTCGTATAACGGTATATGTAAAGGGGGAGTGAGATGCGGTTTACGTTGCTCTTATCACTATTAATCAGAAACACAATGCGTATCAGCCTACGATGTGATTGTACATGATAGCATGAAGCCAAACAGCACGATAATGGTGTTGACAAATCGAGTATACAAATCAGGGTGAATCGTGTATCCGATCATGATATTTTGCAAACATTTTGCGACTCTGCTCAGCGAATTCTGATGCCTCAAATGACTTGGTCACATATGTGCCCTACTTTTCCGATCTGTTTTACATTTGTTAGATATATGATTAAGAATAGCTATTTAAAAATCTGGAAATGAACTTATTTCAGTTGCGATTTACAAAAATGGTACAGATTAGTTCAACTGGTTTCTGGAAGACACAAGCTACTGTATGCCTGTCTGGTTTCAGCGCCAGGATGACTGAAGTGAGGAAGTGAACTAAGAACCATACCATCTTCACAAAGGAACTTTCTGTTTTCTGAACATGGCCTCCAGTATAAACGCTTTCCTCCATTCCTCTGCTTGTACACACTGAGACACCTAGCTATAGTGTGTGAAGACAAAGCACCGCGGCGCCCGTCGTATTTCAAAGCCGTCTCCTCTAAGAAAAACATTGAACAGGATATACACAAATGTTATAACATAGCCTTTCAGATACATTGTACTTTCTGTAAACTCAGTGTCACAGGTGAAAATGTATAGTATCGTACTCTTGATTTTCTCTTTTCAAACGAAATGTTCTTCAGGTTTCAGGTATGTCATCATTTACCATTCTATCGAGACATTTAGTATTCGCTTTAAATAAATATACATGGAGACAAATTACTATTTGTCAGGACTAAGGCATTAAAAGAAAAGTAATCCAGAAATGATTCCATCTATATGACAACCGAGTCTGGTCTACACAATCCAGTGTCTAACATTATGAGCTACGATGACATGTATCAACCAGGTCATTGAGTCTGACCACCTCGCCTCTTATGACAAGCATCGCTTGCTGAAGACCAAATCTAATTCGGATCTTCACATGTACATTAACCATGCTGAAAACCTTGTTGAGATTATTTTGACGATAATGCAACTCAGTCAGTATGGACCGAGCCATGCAACATATAAAACGTGACATAAATGAACCTGATATTTTTTGCAGTTCTCAAGTATGTCGCTGTATTGTCTGAACCTGAATAAGAGAACTAGCGATCAAATATGCGAGTATAGCTGAGACAATATGTTAGATATAAAACGAAGAACATACAACAATGGTTCCCAATCCAAATTCCAAGTGGACCTGACTAAAGAATAGTGCAACAAAACGCATAGAGATTATTGTACACACATTCGAAACTCGGAAACCCATTGACGAAGTCATCGGTTTCCATAACATAGACACGAAACTCTGATAGCTGTTGGAATCTCGCCATTCCTGTTATTATCACAATTGAGGTCCACGAATGCATTTTGACTTCTGAAATTTTGACTTCCAGAAATTTAATTAACCATCCCGTATTTGTCAATATTATTTTAAAATATCAATTTTAACATCTCAAAGTTTTGTATGTATTCATATAATCTGTGCTGGGAACAGATATTAATCAATGGTAAAATGACCCTACTTACCGTTTATCCATCTCCTGTGCAGATATTTGTACAAACCGATCCAGTATGTGGTGGTGTTACTGCTGCTTCCAAGAAGACTGGTCCGGGCAGATGTATTCAGTTTAACCAAGTCGCATGCCTTCCGGGCAGCAAACCATGACTTCTGAGGTCTACAAGATATACTTGTAGTTGCACCTATAAAATGAACGAAAATCTGTTAAAGGTGCGTGCACAGAAAACATGGTCAACACTGTGGCACGTATGTTTGTTGACAACACTTTCTACAACCACATTTCCGACTGGCCTCATATCGCCGAAACACTGGCCTTGATGCTGTGAGGTATGACAGTAGTCATGCTGTGTCAGCCAACAAACAGATCCATGCTAACCCGTTTCGCGAACACCTGGTGTCATGACTGGCTTTCATTTATACATTCATATATTTTCACCACTATTTTGCTCTGAGCAGATTTGCTGGATTGACAGAAGACACGTCTCTTGTTCGCTGCATTTAACGACTGTGTGCAATATACTCCTTTATAAACCTTAACCTATAAAATAATAAACCATCATCTGAAGGCGCATGATTAGACGTGAAGGTGTAAGTACTGTTCTGCAGCGTCTGACAACAAACACGCGTTAACGTGTTTATGCAAACTAAAGTGGTGCGCGTGCAGCAGCGTATGCTTTCCGCATTATATGTAACAAGGAGAAGATCAAATGTGGCAACCATGCTTACTTCTTGCCTAATTGTCCTATGCCTCAGTTTCACACAGGGGTTATCACGAACGTCTGAATAAAATTTGTTAGCCATCCCTATATTTGTTGTGAATAAAAGTGGGGTACAAATTTGGAAAATCGAATGTTTTCGAGAACAAAATTTTGTTCGATATTATTTCGGGGAGTTCAAAAATGTAAACACATTCTCAGGGTTTTTTTCACAGTCCACATTGTATTTATTTTATCTGTCCCATTTTCTTTTCTTGAATATGAGGTAAGTCCGTCCTTGATTATAACAACGATTACAGGTTATCTCCCTAGACTGGCAATTGACCGTGAATGTGTCTATATGCATCTCTTCTTTTTGCATGAAATTGACTGAGATTTGGAATCTTGAGCAGAAGAGAAATTGTTGTGTCGTCAGGTTTTACAGTCATGTTATGTCTTCATGGTAGAGTTAGTCGTATATAATATCCTGTATTCAGTGTAGTGTTATTTGTAAAACATACCGTGTCTTCATGAAAGTGGAAATTGTAATACATTGTAAGGTATTAATGGTGGTCGTAATTAGGACAATGATCTTTAGGACTAAACTTAAAGTTTCTTAAAATTAGATATAAATATCAAGGGAGATTTATGTTATTTTGGATGAAACGTAATGCAACTTGCCAGATAAAGTAAAGCAGGCGTAACAATCCTTGAAGTTTTTGCAATCGTCATAAGTTCTGGTATGGATGGAAAGGTCCGTGTCATCCGCATAAGCACAGTACGTGTGTTCCTCTTGATTAAATATCATGTTTTCTAAAAACAGTAAAGACATAATATCAGTTCAAACATTCAAAGATTACCTGAATGATCTACACTTTCAAGATGTACCATTTGCCATGCTACTATGATACTACTAAAACTGAGAGAACGACTATTTTAACGATAATCGAATTTAATCTTGTAGGCTCTGACCACTCGCCTTTTGTGACCGTGGAACTGAAGTATGGTAACTATGAACAACAACATAGTCCAAAACAGCCCTGTCCTTTGTGCCATAATACCGCCAGTGCCCTACAACGACCGTATGGCTGTAATATAGCTTATAGGTGTATTGGCTGGGTTTTCTAAAGAGTCCAATTAGCTTCATACAGATTAATTCTAATACATCGTAGAACTGGTTCGCTCAGTGCGAAGGCAAATTTTCAAAACAAGGATGAATAAATAGTAACCAAAATACTGCTAAAAGAAATTTTGAAGCCTCACATTTAAGCAGATCTAAGATTCGTGTCAGATGTAGTTAAATGGCAGCAAGGCTGAATAAATAATAACCAAATTACGTTGTTCCTGTCAGGCATCGAGACACTGATCCAGTAAAATTAATCAGTGTCATAGAAATATTTTATGGTATGTAAGGATGAAATTAACGTAGCCGTACCTAGCTTGTATACTGACACCCCCTGGATGTTGCCACACCTTTCCTCCAAGTTTCCGGGACACGTGTTCTCGGATAGCATCGACTTCGTAGTGTTATAGCCTTCTTTCAAACAATAGCACGTGGTTCCCTGTGTATGCACACAAAGACGGACATAATGCTATGTGGTAACATGAGAGTTAACAAAACTATGCCCTGAACGTGCTGTGTGCGATGGAGTTTTGAGCAGTTCATTAACCATGACTCTAAGTATACTACAGCTGACAAACAAACCAATTGTTGTCAGCTAATTGTATTCTGAGTGTGAACCTCTGACCTTTAGATACTACCTAATCTTCTAAGGAATTGGACTGCTGTTGTCCTTGAGGACGTAACAGTTTTAAAGCATGTTTCACAATCAGACAATATGTATGGAATGTGGTGGTGTATCCATTGAAGGAGTGAGTGAGTTTGGTGATATATCGTGACAGCTTCATGAAGAGGAAGGTTTCTCACGTTCTCCACTTTGATGAAACCCAGACAAATAAGAGTGAGTGAGTTTGGTTTTACGCCTCTTTTAGCAATATTCCAGCAATATCATGGCGGGGGTAACCATAAATGGGCTTCACACATTGTGCCCATTTGGGGAATCGAACCGGGTTTTCGGAGTGACGAGCGAACGCTTTAACCACCAGGCTACCCCACCGTCCCTCAGAAAATAAGACATCATAATGAGGCTAGAGTTTAGTTTAACGCCGCTTTCAACAATATTCCAGCAATATCACGACAGAAGACACCAGAAAAGGGCTTCACACATGGTACCGATGTGGGGAATCGATTCCGGGTCTTCACACACTTTAACCACTATATCGGATTTGAATCCAACAATGATAATTCAGATTTCAAATGACGACGCTACGTGCTTCAAGGAAATAATTAACTTTGATTTTATCAACATTCTAGTCTGTATAAGTAGTATGTGAGTGTAACTGTAACTACCATACAGTTTGCAGCATCTATTTCAAGTGATGAACTTAGGATATATACAACTCACCTTCATGCCTACTGAATATGCTGGACTGCAGTGAAGATGGCACTTCCATACCGAGTTATCAAGATATGTTCCCTTTGGTTCTACTGTCACACTCCCCAGAGGAAAGAAGCCAGCATAGGTGAACAGGGGACTGTCATCTACTGTATTTGGACAATTGAAGGTAATATATTAGCGTAAAGCTGTACTCTAGCAATATATAACAAGTTTTATGGATAACAACTTCTTTATTTTGGTGAGTGCGACGTTTCGATACAGATTCTTGTACCGTTGTCAAGCAAGAGTGATACATGAAGTGTAGGAGCTGCATATATATACTGTATATAACAATGAAACAACATAATAGACAAAGGAAACAACATAATTGCCATGATTGGCTAAGCAGTAAGCTGATGAAGCCAGTAAGTACATAAAGGATAGTGAATGGAAGCCAGAGATGTAGTTACAATGAGATGTTTATACAATGGATGCGATGTTTATACAATAGACTGGGCTTGGTGGAGGAGTGGATCATAAGCAGATGGAATGAAGTATCCTTGGTCACGGTTGATGGTAGGCTTGTGGCGTTTGATGTGAATGGCTTCTGTGAGCTTGCGTTTAGTGAAGTCCGTTTGGTTGTTGGCGAGAATGGTGATGTCGGACCACTCTATTTGATGATTGGGGTTGGCTTTGATGTGGTCAGAGATAGCTGATTTGGTGTCGGAATTAGCAACAGAGGTGCGATGTTCTTTGACTCGGGTGTTGATGGGTCGGGATGTTTCACCTATGTAGCATTGTCCACAATCACAGTCTATTTTGTAAATAACACATTTCGGGTTGTTGTTGTTGACGGTGGGTTGTTTTCTTCCGTTGGCATGGAGGAGGTTGTTGAGGCTGGAGGACGCTGAGAAGGTAGTGTCTATTCCTGCCTGTTGTTTCAGGAGTCGGCTGATTTGGTGTGATGGTTTACCAATGTAGGGAATGGATATCTTGATGGGGGCTGATTCTGGTTTAGATCTTTGGCAGGAGGTGAAAGCGATGCTTCGATGGTTCTGTTGACTATTTCAGGTGGGTAGTGGTTGCGTTCCACAAAGACTTTCCTCAGGTGTTCAATTTCTTCCTGTAGGTTTGTTGAGCAGATGTTTTGGCTCTTCTGGTCAATGTAGAGATGACGCCGGTCTTGACTTTAGGTGGGTGGTTGGAGTTGTAGTGGATGTATTGATCCGTATGAGTTGGTTTCTGTACACGGAGGTCTGGAGTTGGTTGCAGGAGGTGCGGGACACAAGGACATCAAGGAAAGGTAGTTGGTTGTTCTGCTCTGTTTCAATGGTGAATTTGATGCGGGATGTTGGCTGTTGAGATGGACGAGGAGCTGCTTTGGATCTTGCTGAGGTTGGAGGACGACGAAGGTGTCATCCACTTTGCGGTACCAGCAGGACGGTTTGAAGGGTGCAGTTTCTAGGGCCTTCTCTCCAGGTCCGCCATGTAAATTTCTGTTAGGATGGGGATAGTGGGGAGCCCATGGGAAGACCGTGGATTTGCTCATAGATGGCATCGCCCCAGGTGAAGTAGGTGGAGTTGATGCAGGCGGAGGTGAGGCTGATGATAGAGTCGGTAGAGAGGCTGGTGTTGAGGGGTTGTTGGAGGTTGTCAATTCTGTGACGTAGTGCTTGAAGGGCTTCATCCCGAGGTACATTGGTGAATAGGTCCACAACGTCGTAGCTGATGATTGGACCTGGGTTGGTGATGTCACGGATCTTGGAGCAGAAGTCAGTTGAATCATTGATGAAGGAGTTGGCAGATTTACCTAATGGGGAGAGTACTTGGGTAAGGTGCTGGGCAGTACTGTAGAATACAGTGTCACGGGAACAGACTAGTAGACGAGTTTTAACGGGGTTCTTGTGGATTTTGACTGTTGCTCTGGCATAAGGTGGCTGGGGTGAGATACTGTGAGTTTACGATACAGGTCTGTTGAGAGTTCATATTTATCATGCAGCGTTTTTAGCGTGGCCTTATGCTGACGGTTGAGCTTTGTAGTCGGATCCCTCTTCATCATTTGGTAGGTTGAGGTGTCATCTAGGAGGTTATCCACCATGGAGTGGAAGTGGTCCTTGTCTAAGACAACAGTGGCTCTGCCCTTGTCGGCTGGGGCGATGACAATATCAGGATGTTGTTTAAGTTGTCTGATGGCTTGTTTCTCAGCTGGTGTGATGTTTGGTTTCTGAGGCTGGGCTTTGTGGAGAATACTGGTGATCTGGTGTCGGAGGAAGTCAACCTTTCCACCGGGTGCAAGTTGTTGGAGACCCTTTTCAATGTTGGCGATAAACATGTCCGAGTTGATTTTGGGTGATGTAGGGGCAAATTTGAGACCTTTGGCAAGGGTACTGACCTGTTGGTTGGTGAGTTGTTTCTTGCTAAGGTTGACGACTGTGTTGTTGATAGTTGGTGCTGTGGTTTTCTTGCGTTTGGTTCCTGAGGCAGTGAGTTCTTGTAGTTTCTTGATGTGTCCGGTCTTAGTTGAGGTGTCTAGTTTGTTGTTGGTCCGACATCACCATTCTCGCCAACAACCAAACGGACTTCACTAAACGCAAGCTCACAGAAGCCATTCACATCAAACGCCACAAGCCTACCATCAACCGTGACCAAGGATACTTCATTCCATCTGCTTATGATCCACTCCTCCACCAAGCCCAGTCTATTGTATAAACATCGCATCCATTGTATAAACATCTCATTGTAACTACATCTCTGGCTTCCATTCACTATCCTTTATGTACTTACTGGCTTCATCAGCTTACTGCTTAGCCAATCATGGCAATTATGTTGTTTCCTTTGTCTATTATGTTGTTTCATTGTTATATACAGTATATATATGCAGCTCCTACACTTCATGTATCACTCTTGCTTGACAACGGTACAAGAATCTGTATCGAAACGTCGCACTCACGAAAATAAAGAAGTTGTTATCCATAAAACTTGTTATATATTGTACGTCTCAACTTCTAAAATGCCACTCAAACAAGTTGAAGTTTCTACAAACGGATTTCAGCAACTGATTTAAGGCAAAACACGGTCATCTTTTAACAAGCACTATTCTCTGTTCTGTGTCGATTCCACATGAATAAATAATGTATCGGATTTACATAGATTGAATCAGTTATGTCTCCATCATGAAATGTGAAACCAGAGTGAGTAATTCTCCCGTCCAACTGTTGTTTCTTGCCGTTCATCACACTCATGCAGTATACCGTCAGTACACTATCACATTCATCACTATACTGTCAGTACACTATCACATTCATCAGTATACTGGCAGTACACTATCACATTCATCAGTATACTGTCAGTACACTATCACATTCATCAGTATACTGTCAGTACACTATCACATTCATCAGTATACTGTCAGTACACTATCACATTCATAAGTATACTTCCAGTACACTATCACATTCATCACTATACTGTCAGTACACTATCACATTCATCAATATACTGTCAGTACACTATCACATTCATCAGTATACTGTCAGTACACTATCACATCCGTCAGTATACTGTCAGTACACTATCACATTCATCAGTATGCTGTCAGTACACTATCACATTCATCAGATTACTGTCAGTACACTATCACATTCATCAGTATGCTGTCAGTACACTATCACATTCATCAGTATGCTGTCAGTACACTATCACATTCATCAGTATGCTGTCAGTACACTATCACATTCATCAGTATGCTGTCAGTACACTATCACATTCATCAGTATACTGTCAGTACACTATCAAATTCATCAGTATGCTGTCAGTACACTATCACATTCATCAGTATGCTGTCAGTACACTATCACATTCATCAGTATGCTGTCAGTACACTATCACATTCATCAGTATGCTGTCAGTACACTATCACATTCATCAGAATACTGTCAGTACACTATCACATTCATCACTATACTGTCAGTACACTATCACATTCATCAGTATGCTGTCAGTACACTATCACATTCATCAGTATGCTGTCAGTACACTATCACATTCATCAGTATGCTGTCAGTACACTATCACATTCATCAGTATACTGTCAGTACACTATCACATTAATGACGTCATACTAATATTGTCAGTATTTACACACCCGTGAAGAATTAAAAAGGTTAGAACTAGTCTTCAGTAGCCCATATGCCTGTCGTAAGAGGCGACTAACGGGATCGGTTGGTCAGGTTTGCTGACTTGGTTGACACATCGTATACCATTTGCTTAGATCGATGTTAATCAATGGATTGTCTGGTCCGCAGACCGCCGCCATATAGCTGGGATATTGCTGAATGCGCCTTAAACAAAACGCAAACACCTGGCAATACACATGTTACTGAGACCGGGTGAGTGAGTGACTGTATATTGTATGAGGATAAAGAAGACACACGTGACATACTAACGTCACTAGAGTGAACCCTAGTCTCTGCAACATATTGATTTCCGGGTTCCTGCCGCTTATACACTCATGCTTAAATCAGTGGGCTACAATACTCAATCTGTGAAATGATTAGTTACTGATCTAGCGACACAGCAGTAACCGTCATTGTGGATATTTATGCTTGTAGCAGCAGGATAACAGCACCCTAAAACAACCGAGTACGTGACTGAGGACACAATATCATATCCAGTTTCAACACAGATCAGTATCCGAAGGCTGTGAGAACTTGAGAGTTACAATAGTCTACACCAATCTCTGGAATACTTACTGATTAATCTCGCGGAAGGTATACAGGAAGCACACAAATTAATGCGTGTAGCAGCAGGATAACAGCACCCTAAAACAACCGAGTACCTGCCTGCGGACACAAGATGTGTGAACCTACCTATACCCTGACACAAGACAGCACCCCAACAGACCAACAGCCATGTAAACAACATGTCCGACATTCACTGAGTAAATGGAAACAGAAAATGAGACTGAAAACAGGACTCTGTCGCCTACAGGGAAGTGTAAGTCACACACATTAGGACGGTCAACAAAGCCAGGCAGAATAAAAAAATAAAGTGTGTTTATATCTGCATGTAACACATGAATCAGCGGAATACTGCACATAGACAACCAGACACTATAGATTATGCATGTACTTATCCTTACGTAGAC